TTAATTCAGCTTGGTCCAAAACCAGGCTGACACTTGTAACATTGCACTACCACCCATTCATCCTGCATCCCGATTGTTGCTAACATCTTGGATTCATGGGCTGGGGAAAAAAATCACTCAGACCAGGTTTCCAACCCCTGCCCTATACATAAAGTGTGCCCCAAGCTGGCCTGTCGTGCTTGTATTCAAAACTCGGTGAGGGACGACCAGCCTCAGGAGCCCAGCATCCATGCCCTCTCTTGTGAATGATACCTCATTCTAGCATTGGTAGTGAACCAACTTTAAATAATGGGTAGAGCCTGTTTTGTAAATTGCTTTTAAGAGTAGCTTTGCTGCTTCTTCCCAGTTCTGTTTACATCTGAACATTACATATTAGACTGGCTGTTGCTTTCCAGATTGCTCCCAGCTATTCCCTACAATATTCTATTCCTTTACATAAAATCTGCATGTAGCATTTACTGTCCTCTAAGATAATCTTTGCTCTTTGTTCTATAAATATTATCTTGTTTTCCCTTTGCAGCTGACCTGTAATCTCTAGTATGTAATAAATTTAATGAAAAAAGCTGTGTAATTTTAACACTAGGCATACTCTTACTTAATACTACCATTCCATGTATTCCCTTATCAAAAATGAATGCAAATAATTGCTAAAGCAAGAGAGAGAAATATGTATTTAAAAAGCAAAAGAAGTATCAAGTTGTAAAAAAGCCTCTTTGAAGTAGTATGTCAGCTACATGTAGGAACTTCATAACAGCAACTGCCCATTAGTACCACAAAACATATCCCTATAGGCTACGTCCATCACATAAAGGAAGACAACTAATTAAATTCAGATCTAATACAGAAGATGTCAAACACAAAGTTATGTAGTATGTAGGAAGCCTACTTATTATAAAGTATACTAATGTATATAGCTTGTAATGATTTCTGTCTAGCTGTGCATAGGTTGCTGTAAGACACATTGCTTCATTCTTGTTCTTTGAACATACCATCCTTGATGTCTGTATGTACTATATGTTATTGTTAATTGGTTGGCTGAACTATTGTTGAAAACTGAATCATCACCATTATTGAGTATGCAGTGTATTGTACTGGTACCCAACCTGGATTGGGTACCCATAGTAAAATGGCTGTGTTAACACAGCTCTACTTCCAATACCCGAGTTAGCTCGGGTATCTCTGCACAATACTGCATTAGGGTGTACAGATGTACCCTTTGTTTCATACACTAAAAGCACACAGATTTTTCATTTGCAGTTATTGTTTAATCTCAGAGAGATCTTGATTCATCTGGAAATCTGGTCATGGTGAAAGTAGCTAGGCTTAATCATCCAGAATTATGTTGGGAGCTCCTTTAGGAATAGATTCTCTGTGGAAAATTGAGAATTAAAAAAAAAAATCTGGCATCATGCCTGTTGCCTGGTCACTTTTTGTAATATTCAAGAAAGAACCTGCTCTAGTCCACTAAGGCATTCACTACTAGTAAGGTTTATATGCTTCTGGGCTTGTAGGGTAGGGACACAGCTATCCCATGTTCACTGTGCCACCACATAGCACTTGCCTTTCCAGTTCTTTTCTGTAAATGCCAGCAGAAATTGCTCTCAGAGGAATGATAAGGGTTCAGAGCCTAAAAATTGATAGGGATTTGGCACTTTTTCTTCCAGTTCCTCTGACTTCACAAAGATTTCAAAATTCCCCAGACTGTTTGAGGGGTTATGCACTTGTATCATTATATATAGGTTGGGTGTGAATATGATGCAAAACTGAGAGCATGACAGCAAAGTTAGTGTGGACCTAATGCTCTGTTAGTGCTTATAGCGCTATTTGCCCTGCCTACTTCAGGCAGTTTAAAGAGTGAGAATCCTTCCTAGTGCAAGGAACAATATTAAGTTTAGGAATTAGATCCAAATTTCCTGAATGGCAGTGTGGAGGCCTCCAAATTGGCCTCCTTGCAGTTTTAGTAGAAAGATGTATATTGTGAAAATTGTGTATATATATCGTCTATAAATGTATATTGTGGAAATAATTTTCTTACTACTGTTCTGTAAAACAAGTCCACAGTAAGAGAAATAACATTTGATCAGTTAATTCTTTAGTTTATGAACACCTTAAAGCATAAGCAGTTCTTCTGGATTGTTTGGAAAGTACCAAGGTAGATTGTGAAGCCTGGCATAGAGGGATCAAATAAAAATTGATAAAAATAAGTATGTAGGTGTACATTACTAACAGTATGCATGTAATCCTGGACCTAAATAATCCGGAACATTCTGGCAGTTTGTATTCAAATATAATAAATCAGAATAATTGAAAATCAGGACTTTGGATGCATCTGCCAGCACCCAAATTAAGGATTCTAGGTTCTTCTTTTAAGAGGTGGCAACCCTATTAACTCCTAAAGCGGTGTGGGGAATGCAGCTTCTTTCATTGTACTAATGATGCCAGAAAGTGGGGAAAAACCTGTTCAACTTTAGTCTTGGTAGATGAAAATATACATATTTGTTCACACACTTTTTATACAACATTGCCTGTTCTTTTGCTTTTGCAAACAAAACAAAGCCTTCATAGGTATGAGGTTTTTCCGTAACCTTCCCTTTCTCCCACTCTGGTGTGAGTTGGTGAGGGATACCACACTGGTTACCCATCACATTCAGGCAGTTTGGTGTGTCATCTCCAAAACAATTTCAGTAGGGAAGGTTTTGTAGCGTCTTCCTCATCACTGCTAGTTTAGCTGGATGAACATCATTGCTGCTCTTATTCTGTACAGTATGTAAAAGTAACCACACTCTCCTGAACATGCTTATTTTTAGCAAAATAAATTGGCATATACCTGTTGGTTCATGTGGTACTTACATCTCTTCTGGATGTGTTGCGTATAGTGTGAGTTAAGTGGTTTATAGTTTTCCATTACTTTTTTTTATCAGCTATTGCAGATTTAAGTACTCTTACTCAGTACATATACATGAGCATGCACACACATGCATGGAGACACTTATGCGCACGTATATGGCTAGATAAAAATGATTGTGAAAAGTAACGCTGACAGCCTGTAAGCAAATGCATAAATTCTTAATATGATTGTTCCTTTGTTAGTTACTACATTGCATTGATTCTTGTAAAAATAAGCCTGATTGTATTTTGAACCTATGATTCAACTGAATCTATTGTTCAATTAAATCAACAAGTGTAATGGAAAATATTTATCAGCTACTGCTTTAGAGAGAACAGAACAGGTTTTAATAAATGCATCTTCTTTGTTTTGAGAATGAAATGGAAGTAAAGTCTAATATATGTATTTAAATTAAGCAGTTAACATATAGCTCTACAATACTTTGTTTAGGAACCTAACAGATCTTTTTATAAAAATAAAGCAAGTTAAATATAAATGTTGGTAGTACCAAATCATTAAGAATAAAACTTGTTTGTGCTGAACTCCATCCATCCTTCCCTATCCTAAAAATGTAACTGAATGATGATAAAGTGCTATTCATTTGCAGGTGCATTGCTTCTACTTAGGGAACAATGGTTGAAAGGACAGGAATTAGTTGCATGTTGTATTAGCCTTTTGTAGTGTATTTTGTCCTAAGCATCTTAATTTCCCTGTTTTGAATGCTAAGTAGCAAGGGTCTTGGTTTAGAACTAATACCCATCATGCATGTAAACGGTGTGAAAGAGCTGCTTAGTAAGTTAGCACAAAGTGTTCTTGTGTCAGTCCTTGTGGAAATAGATACAATACAAACATTACAGCTGAACTCACGGCAAACTCCATTAAGTAAAAACCTGGGTTCATTGTCTAGAGGAAAGTATGAATTGAATGTAAGCTCATTTTGTTGAATGTAATGTCAGGCTTTTAGGGGTTGTATTGAGGAGTAAGGTTTTGTTAAGTTGAGACCAATTCATTAAGTTTTATTGCCTGGTGAGAAGCAGTAATACGTTATTGTGAAACTTCATCAAATATTCATGGTTAAAAAGAAGTAGTAAATGTATTCAATCAAGTGGTCTTTTTGGTGTCTGAAAAGGATTATGAAGTCTACTCAGCTGATAGTCTGTAACATTTTGTGGCTATTTAACAAGGGTAATTTTAATCTCTGATTTTAATTTTGCTGTCAAGTCTCGCTTCTCCCCATCTCTTGGTCTGCAGAAAATTGCCCTGTTCCCTTTCGGCATTATTTTCTTTCAAATTTAATTTTAGAAAATACTTTGGCCTGGAAGCAAGCTGTCATCTTTTGCATTTGTAATGTATTTGTGGTTGGTCCTCTAGGTGGGTGTGAGCTGCCACTCCTTGAATCTGGGGCTGCAATTTTTAATCAGTTACCATCTTCCTCGTGTGTCTTGCTGACTCTTATTGCATGGCCTGGGCAGCATGATCTATTCTTCCATGAGGCTGCAGTCAGTGCAGCCTCAAAGATTTGGCAGTTAAGGAGAGTCCGAAGGAAGAGCAAAGTTGCACTTTGTTTTGAGAAGTAATCGCATCACATCCAACATGCAATGGCAGATAGAAAAGTTGAAAGTTTTGCTGGGACTCTAAATTCATAGCCTCCCTTTTATTCATACCTCATGTTTGTTAGTATTGCCAGTGTAATATCTTACCTACCAGAATAGACATAAAAAATGTTCTATTAAAATTTTTTTTTACAAAGTAACAGCTTACAAGACTTTTCCTTTTAACACATCCAGTCTTTCCTCATTTTCCACCATTACCTACAGGCAAAAATTTTAGTTACTGTTTTTCTGGCAAACAGTGGCTGGATCAGCTCGTCTTTGAAGCCTTTTACTGCAGGCCCTTCATCAGCCAGAGGGGTCACTGTTGAGCAGTAATAGGTGCTTGAATCTCCTCAGCCTAAGACTACGTACTTCTAAAATTGCTGGCAGGCCACAGCACTTTGTGCGATTCTCCCCCCGCATAGAATTGTATTGTCTTTGCTATATAAGAAATGCAGGCTTTTTTCTTCCCTCTGCCAACTCCTCTCCATCTTTTATTTATTTATTTATATTTGTTTTAGGCAGATGATGTGGAAAGTAAAATTAGAGAAATCATTCCTCCTGGGTTTTGTACAAACACGGATGACTTTGTGTCTTTGCTGGAAAAAGAGGTCAATTTCAAGCCCTTTGGAACATTGCTTCATACATACTCTGTTCATAATGTGGAAGCGGGTGAGGATATAACATATCAGATATACAAGGTATGACAGAAACAGAATTGCTTCTCTTGTACAGATGTTGCAGGAATTTTTTTTTGTAGTGTATTTTCAACTGGAGCATATGAACATCAGTACTTTACCAACTCCTCCTTTTTTCAGTATGTATAGTTAAATCAGAATATTCTGCTTTTAAATACTTTCTTATTGGAGTATTTAATTACGTTCTTCAGGCTTTCTTCTCTTACCTCAGTGATGAGTTTCACCTGACTTCTCCTGGCTTTTTCCCTAGGCTGACATGACATGTCCAGGCTTTCGAGACTATCATGAAAGGCTTCAGACGTTCTTGATGTGGTTTATTGAAACTGCTAGCTTTATTGACGTGGATGATGAAAGATGGAACTACTTTCTAGTGTAAGTACAGTTCTAAAGCAACAGTGGACCTTATTACCTCCACAAAGCCTGCATTTTAATTATGGTTGGCCAATTATTGGGACAGTATAATGATATTTTTCCCAGGAAAGAAAAACCATTGTTTATCAGGCTTGAGTTTTCCTCCATTATGCTTTGGGAGACCTTGAGAATAGAGCTGAATTAAATGCTGTTGTCCGTTATAGCCCTGAATGTAGGCTTAAACAGTAAAATGAGCTTTGCCTGTGTTTTCTTTTACTTGCCACCTATTCATTTTTATAATAGGCAAGTGCGCTGAAGTGCTGTAAAGAGGCCTGATTTATCCAAGTTGCTGCACACCAATTAAGTGAATTGTACATTCAGAACATAGCAGGTGTACCCATTGGGCCCTCACAGAGTAGCTTGCTGACACTGAAAATTCAGTTGGAGAATGGAAAAGAAAATGGACACTGCATGGGAGCGCGACTGTAATTGACCTGCTTGGCTTTCTGTTTTATCTCCAGATTTGAGAAGTATAATAAGGATGGAGCTACGCTCTTTGCGACCGTAGGCTACATGACAGTCTATAATTACTATGTGTATCCAGACAAAACCCGGCCACGTGTAAGGTAATTGGCGGCATAACACGTGCCTTGTCTTTTATTTCAGAAGAGGGAACTGCTGAAGTTCCCAATACTTGTTTATAATGGTGTTGATTTGTTTAAAAAAATCCCCATTATTAGCAGGCGATGCACTGATTTATATCATTGTTCCTCCTAGAAGCAGTGTGGAACCTCAAACTAGTTTTGAATATTTTAGCAATTTTAAGACTTTATAAAAAGTTGTTTTATTTTCAGCTTAGAAATCAGTGTAAATGATGTTTAATGCAAAATAAAATGCTTTTTAAGTTATTTACTCTTGTTGTTCAAATAATACTGAAGTTGTGCACTTTGCTAGTAGTGCTTTTTTAAATTAAAAAGGCTAATTCCTTTCTGTCTGTCTGTCTGTAGTCAGATGCTAATATTGCCTCCATTCCAAGGAGAAGGCCATGGTGCTCAACTTCTTGAAACTGTTCACAGATACTATATGTCTTCTCCTACAGTGCTTGATATAACAGGTATATAAATCTTTTTTATTAAAGATGTGAACTGAATTAGAAAAAATGTGAGCATTGATTGCCAGTTAGCCTACTTTTGTGTTAGAATTAATTTTGTGTCAAAATTAAATGGCCTTTTGAAAATTTAGCTTCAGCTCTGTTCAGAGTTAATAGTCCCCTGTTTTACAGAAGAACTGTATATAATGTAACTCCTTAAATCCTTTACTTATAGAGAACAGCACACCAGGAAAGTCCAGTCCCTGGCATGAAAGGATTACCAGTTAATTAGCCATTTGATTGTGAGGTACACAGCTGAATTTGCCAAGAGATTGAGCTTTCTTAAACTCCTTGTTGAGCTTCCTCTTTTTAGTCAAAATTGCAAATCAGAAAATATATTGAATTAAGATATCAGTATTGACCTAAAGTCCAGAGCTTTTCATCCACCAGGCACAATACAGAGGTTTGGTATCCCAGCAAAATAGATACTAAAGTGAATGTCTGAATGATATCAGAGAAATGGCCTGTGTGTGTGTATATGCATATATGTGTGTTGATTGATTGATTGATTGATTGATTATAGGCACTATATACACTTTCCCTCATATTCTTCTTCCCTCCCATCTTCCAGTCGAATTATAAATATACATATAGATATAGATCTGAAGATGGGAGGAAAGAAGAATATGAAGAAACGTATATATAGTGCCTATAATATGGAAAAGACTTTGTATATGAGACCACAGAGTAGACATGTCTAAAGCCTTGATCTTAATGCATATTATGATAAAGAAGAGTGAGAAAAATGTGAATTCGAATTGTGCTTCATGCTATTTTAGATACTGTCTTAATACATTCATGATTGATATTTTGAGGGGGGAGGGAAATGACATTTTTTTTTGGTTAAAAGATGTCCTTTGTACCATAGAATGTCATAGGCTTAGTACTAATACTACACATATTGGTATTAATCCTATGATCTCAGCAGATCTGAGTGTCAGTTCAGTTTTTTGGTTCCTCATTGCAGACTTTTAGCTGCTTTATAACACAGAATATATACCCAGATGTTATTTCTTATTAACAGTAAATGCTGTGGCTTTTAATTATTGTATCGTACTACAAAACCTTCCATGGGATTCTGTAAATCTGATTATTATTATGCACGTAATTTAAAAAGAGCACAGTGTTGCATATGATAAGGAATCGGGGTGTGGAAGGCAGATGACTAGTTTATTTTCAGCACACTGTGTAGTGCACGTTTTCTTAAGCAGTAAAACTGTTACAAAACAGATTTTCAATTGCCCAGTGGAGTAATCTGCTAGAAAACTATGTAGGAAACAGCAGGAGTTCAAAGGGTAGGGAGCTCTGAATTTAGCTTTTCATCCTTTTTTCATTGCCACTTTTGAGCAAAATTGAGTTGAATAGGCATGATGTAGGCAGAAAATTATGAAAGTTAGATGGCACTGAAGATTACAGAATGGTTAAATTTTAGGCTTACTGAGATGTGAGGTAACAGAGATTTATTAAATTGTTAGTTGGAAGCAGCTAACATGTGCCAAGATACTTACTTGGTCTTGGCATTTTCTCTGAATGGTTTGTTCCTACTTTTAGTTCCAAACACAAGACCCTGAGACAAACTTGTAATTCGGAACTCATCCTGTAAGCAAAATGTGACTTGAGAGTGCTCATTAGAGAAGTTGTTTGCCTGTCTTTCTTGTTCTGAGTTGGCAATCCCACCCCTACTTTCCATTTAAAATTTAAAAATTAATCTTCTGTTTCATTTTCATTATAAGCTAATTGTGGTGTATGTATATTCTCCTGACTTTTCTATGGGATAGGATCATCAGGTTCACTGTACAAGATTAGGTTACTAGTAATAGTTGTAAACTGTCTCTCTTCTGAAATAAGTAGTCAGTTGTTGAGTGCCGCATACGTAAAGAAAAAACAACCCTAGTACCATGCAGGTTGTTCCTTTCAAACAATAAATATTAACAATCAAACACTTACCTGCCCTCTAAAAACCCTGCTACTGTATGACTCTGGTTGCCCATACTACTGAATTCCATAAGTTAATGATGAAGAATGAAAAGATGAAAGGCTTTGAGAACTAGCTCAACATTTATTTTGGGTATTTTGTCAGAAACCTGTCTGTAAAATTGCAAGAAAGCAATAGTAGCTTCCAAGGCCAGTATTTCTTGCAACGTAGTGTTAGGTGGGAATAAGTCTGCATAAATGACTCTCTCGGCTTTGTTGTAGCTGATTCATGTTTTATGTTTTCTTCCTACTTCTATTCTCCAGAACTGAAATTAGTTACATTACTCTGAGCAAAATTGAGTTAACTTAAAATTAAAACTGAATTTCGTTTTTGGTCTGTTTGTCTAATTTATAAAGATTTTGAATTCCAAGGCTGTCCTGTAAAGTGTTCACAACATTGTCCCAAGTGAATATCTTTGGCAGGTTGTATATGTGTACTCTGTTCCATTATCTAAATTGTTAATGAAAATGTTTAACCTTTTTTGTGAAGAATAAAGCAAAAAAGACATTGAATATTTTGGCTGGCTTTTGTTCATGTTATTTCACCCTGTTAACTAACAAGCTTTATATTTTTATTCACCTTGTTTCTAATATGTTTTTTCATTCCTTGTAAATTTTAACTCATTTTGCTCCTCAGCTTCTGATTTTGTTTGTGTGTTGTGCTATTCTTTCTGTATGCCTCCTTTAAATAATAGCCTTGCTTCCACTCTTTTTTGTATTAATCTCGTTTGTTTATTGTTTAGTTTTGTTTCATTAAAAGCTTCTGACACAGCTGTGCTGGTGTCTTACCATACCTCAAAGACAAATTAAAGGAGGTGTGGCAACACGGTCACCACCCCACCACTTTTGTCGAATGCCACATGCACAATGCGTTCAGAGCAGGGTCTGGCTGGAGCCCCTGTTTTTACTTGGCTCCTGAGCCTAGGGTTGAGCATCACTGCTGTTTGCCCTAGCCACTCCCCAACCCCAAATTCACCCGAAAAAGGGGATGAGTGAAGAAGCGGCAAGTGGCAGTGACCACACACATAGATAGATAGATAGATAGATAGATAGATAGTGTTTATAATAGTTATATATTGCATTTATAATGCTTTGTGTGTTAAGTATCTTGTTTGTCACTTTTTTCAGAGTGCTTCCCAGGTTCTGATAAATAGATACCTGGGAAGAACAGATTGTATAATGTTGACAGTTAACTGTACCATTCTCTGTTCTTTCCAGCTGAAGATCCATCTGAAAACTATGTGAAACTCAGGGACTTTGTACTTGTGAAGCTGTGCCAAAATCTTCCTTGCTTTTCCCCAGAGAAATTAATGCAAGGGTTCCGTGAAGAAATGGTGACAGAGGCTCAACAAAAACTGAAAATAAATAAGGTACTTTAAAATCTGTATGGATATATTCAGACCTAATCTGTCTGCTGTTCGGAGATCTTCACAAGCACCAGCTCTTGAAATTCTTCTGATCTCTTTGCTTACATGGGAAAAAGTTTCTGAACGTGTTTGGAAGTGAAACTTCTAGCTTATTATGTTTTTTAAAATGTGCCATTCTTATAAATACCTCTATATATTTATCATTACTTAGGGGTGTACTGATAGAGAATTTTTGGGCCGATACCAATGGCCAATTTTTAACAAGCCGTATCCGCTGATTCCGATATGCAGCCGGGCAGCGTAGAGAGCGGCCTTCAGCTAGTAAGTCTGTTGTGGGGGAAGGGAGGGAAGGGGTGTGTAGGGGGGTGCAGATCGAGGCCCCTATGGCAAGGGAGGGAGTGGGGCTGGGGCAGGTGCTGCACAGCTGGGGCAGAGTGGGAGATGGAGCCACGAACAGCTCATAGAATCATAGAAGTAGGGTCGGAAGGGACCTTGTAGATCTTCAAGTCCGACCCCCTGCCTGGGCAGGAGAAAAAACTGGGCTCAAATGATTCCAGTCAGGTAGGCATCAAGCCTCCTTTTAAAGACCCCCAGGGTAGGAGCCAGCACCACTTCCCTTGGAAGTTGGTTCCAGATCCTAGCCACCCTGACTGTGAAGTAGTTGTTATGGATGTCTAATCTAAACCTACTCTCCAACAACTTATGGCCATTATTCCTTGTTATGCCAGGGGGCGCTAGGGGAAACAAGGTCTCTCCCAAACTC